TTTCTCTGTATGGCTTATTTCACTTAGCATCACACTCTCCAGTTCCATCCACGTTGCTACAAAAGGCCATATTTCATTCTTTCTCATTGCCACGTAGTACTCCATTGTATATATAAACCACAATTTCTTTATCCATTCATCAGTTGATGGACATTTAGGCTCTTTCCACAATTTGGCTATTGTTGAGAGTGCTGCTATAAACATTGGGGTACAAGTGCCCTTGTGCATCAGTACTCCTGTATCCCTTGGGTAAATTCCTAGCAGTACTATTGCTGGGTCATAGGGTAGGTAATAAAGACCTTTTCTTGATTGCATGCATACTCTATAACTTCTCAGTCCTCTTTCCATGGGCAGTTTAGTCTGTTTCCTGTCTGACTTCCCAGGTAATGGGGGATGTCACCCATGGCTGACAGGATGAAAAGTGAGAATTGAGTTCTGCAGAATTTTTTCAAGGTTGCTTTCTCAAAGCCAGAGAGATGGGTCACATTGAAGTACACTGCTCACCAGGTTGGTAAGCCAGACACATGGAAGCCATCCACATAGAAGTCATTTCTCCGTCTCCTTTTCTCTCTCTACCTCTTTATCACCACCCCCATTCAATTTCAACTGTCATTTCTACTTCCTAAATATTTCTTGCCTCTGACTTACATTTCTGTTGACAGCGCCCCAGATCAGGGCCCCATCATCTCTTACCTACATTGCTACAGCTACCTCCTAACTGATCTCCCCACTGCCAGTCCTGCTCTCTCCATCTCCCACACAATAGCCAGTGCTGTCTCGTTTTCTTCCACTCTCTGCCCTATTCATATACTCCAGTAGTGGCCTTCTTTGGATTCCTATAGCCTGCCAAGCTCTTCCCCTTATCAGGAAACATGCTATTCTATAGATCTGGAACATTCCCATTTTTTTTTTTCTTTTACATGTGTGGAACTTTCTCCTTCATCACTTCTCAGCATAAATATCATCTCTTTAGAGAGAGATCTTCTTTGACTAAGTAAATCTCTATTACTCTCTATCACTTTCCTCTCTTTCTCCTTGGCACTTTCTACAGGTTGTAAAATATTTATTTACATGTGTAATGAGTGTCTTTACAAAAACTTAGGTGTACAGAGAGGGGATGTTATTTCTCTGTAGCTGAATCTAAGCCAGCTCATGAATTTCTCCATAAATTAGGAATGATTTCCTCTCTCCCTTCTTTTCTTTTCCCTTAAAGCAATTAAAATTCCAGAGGAGCTTAAGTGTTTTCTTTGCATCAGGGATGAGATGTCTAGTTGTGCCCTCTATCACTGATGGCCTCTACTTGATGTATATTGAGTTTTGAAGGGAAATGATAAATAATACTCTTCTTCCTCTCCCAAATTCTGGTCAGTTGAGCTATAAGACAAAAGAGGAAGGCATAGGGAGACTGAAATAGCACCACTATCATTATTAAAGCCAGTGCTAGAGAATGTGTTTTATATCTGTGGCAAGTGGATTTGCTCATCGCTGCTCTAGCCTGAGAAAGCATTCTTAAAATAGTTGCTAGCAGTAAATGCTGAGGTGGTTTTAATTAGAAAGGAACAATGGTTGTCTTAATCTTGCTGCTCCTGTGTCTCTGCTTATAGGAAGAGGAGCTTGGTCATGGTCTTAGTGAGTTTTTATGGTACAATTTCAGTTATTTCATTTAATGAAAAGTTCCAGAACCGTGTCTAGGCCTATTAAGCACTCTGTAATGTTTGTTGAATGAATTAAAGTATTTGTTGTATACATCGGCATTTTTGTAAATACATTCATTTAGTTTTAAAACAGAAATGTTGGGAAACAAGAATTATTTTGTAGATGTTCGTGTTTGTGTGTGTGTGTGTGTGTGTGTGTGTGTGTGTGTGTCCCTTGAGGCACAGAAGTACAATGTTAGAGATAGGCAACCTCTAAGATGGCCACAAATGATCTTTGCCTCCTGGTTTTCAAATCTTTGTGTAATTCCCTTCTCCCTGAGTGTAGGCTGGACCTGGTGCTGACTCACTTGTAAAGAATAGAACATGGCAAAAGTGGTAAGATGTCATTTCTGAGATTAGGTGACATAAATACTGCAACTTCTCTCTCTGTCTCTCTGTCTCTCTGTCTCTCTGTCTCTCTCTCTGTCTCTCTCTGTCTCTCTCTCTCTTTCCCTGCTCCCTGTCTCTCTCTGTGTCTGAGGAAATCCAGCTGCTACAGTATGAGCTGCCCTGTGGAGAGACCCATGCATGTAGCAAGGCACTGAGGGAGGGCTTTGGCTAACTGCCAAAAAGGAATTGAAGGCTTCGGTCTAACAGCTCTCAAGGAAGTAGGTCTTGCTAACAGCCAGGTGAATGAGCTTGGAAGTGGATTGTTCCCCACCTGACTTGAGTCTTCAGATGAGGCTGCAGCCCCAGTTGACGGTTTGGGTGCAGCTTTCTGAGAGATCTTGAGCGGGAGTCCACCAACTAAACTGTGCCCAGATTCCCTACCCACAGAAACAGCGAGGTAATCAATATTTGTTGTTTTAAGCTGCAAAGTTTTTATCTGTGTGAAGTGAGGATAATAGAACGTACCCTATCCAGCATCCAGTGGCAGAGAGAGCGCCTTTGGGAGGTGCCCCATACATGCTTATTGATATTTGTAAGTGATAGACAACCAAAATATTTGTTAAATTATTCAAGGAGTTAAAATTCTCATGTTGCCTTAAAGGAAAATGAGGTCTTTTGGGGAGAAGGCAAACAATTGTAGAGAGGTACTTTTGTATCTTTCATCTGAGTTTATTGTTAAGTGCATGTTTCTGTATTAATTGCTGCTCCTGAAGTGAGTGGGGGATATAAACAATTTCAGCACATCACATTAAGTAGAATATTAAAAAAGATACTTGCAGGAGAAGATCACATTGAAATGTGAAATGTGGGTAGAAGAAAAGACAGCTAAGCCAGTTTAGATGGACTTCGGATTTTGACGAGGTTAACAAATTTAAGTTCAGGGCTAGTCTTTTACACACATCAGTCCTAACAGTTTCCTGCCACTGCCATTTAGTGGGAGTGCTAATGCAAAATATTTTCGTCATGTTCTTTTCCATTCTGCAGGGATGGAGAGAATTCCAGTATATAGCCTCTGAAATAAGATCATATGGTAATACGTATGAGGTGGGAAAGCACAGTGTTTGGGGGCATGGACCCTGGAGTCAGATGGGCAGGGTTTGAATTTGAGTTTCCTCATTCTACTTACTAGCTTTGTGACCTTTGGCGTATTGTGTAACATATCTGAGCCCCAGTTTCCTCAACTTTAAAATCATAATGGTATCTACTAAGAGGAATAAAAATCCATATAAAGATTTACCACAGTATTTGTCATATACCCGAATGTTAGCTGTCCATTATTTTTATTATTATTACAAGTATTGAACACTGTGGCTGGCACATAGTAGGCATGCGATAAATATCAATTTCCTGCCCCTTCTTTTTTCCCCTCTGTGTCCTAAAAGCTAGCCTATACTTTTTGAGTTCTAATTTATTGACTGTTTATTCTCCAATTCAAGAAATATTTTGACGTAGGGAATTTTTCAAAGACACTGCTTGTTTAAAGCCTCTCTAATTTCTCCTTTTTTTTTCTAAAGGTTTCATTGTTAGCAAAGCCTTCCCGAGAGCTTTCAACATTAAATTGCAATGAGTTGCTTGAAATCACCAGGTATCAGAAGATCTTTTTCTTTAGGTTTAGAAACTAGTAGCCAGCTGAGTAGAGGAGAGCTATTTATCATCTAGTTATTCTGGATATGTGGGCTTGGGTGCCATTTTGTGTATCCTCTGTGAGTATCAAATTAGCAGGAAGGGCTGTCGTCTGAAACTGTGGTGGAAAGACAAGTGAACTCAGTGCTGTGGCAACAGGGTGGAGTATTCTAGGAAAATTACATAAGGAAAACGAACAATAGGGGATTGTTTTTTCTTTTTTTATTTATTTTTCTTTTTTTTTTAATGTTTATTTATTTTTGACAGAGAGACAGAGCATGAGCGGGCGGGGGCGGGGGGGATTGTGGCACAGAGAGAGAGGGAGACACAGAATGTGAAGCAGGCTCCAGGCTCTGAGCTGTCAGCACAGAGCCTGACGCGGGGCTCGAACTCACGAACCGTGAGATCATGACCCAAGCCGAAGTCAGACGCTCAACGGACTGAGCCACCCAGGCGCCCCCGTTTTTTTTTTTTAATGTTTATTTATTTCTGAGACAGAGAGAGACAGAGCATGAGTGGGGGAGGCGCAGAGAGAGAGGGAGACACAGAATCAGAAGCAGGCTCCAGGCTCTGAGCTGTCAGCACAGAGACCGACGCGGGGCTCGAATTTACAAACCGTGAGATTATGACCTGAGCTGAAGTCGGTCGCTCAACCAACTGAGCCACCCAGGCACCCCAGGGGATTGTTTTAGATAAATTCACAAGAGTTAACCTACACTACAATAACTTTTAATTTTTCCTGTTAAGTAACATTTTAATTTCAATTTAACAAGTTTAACATTGAGATTATCAACAGGCTCTCAAAAATAATTCTGCCTTTGTAAGCTGTTGCATCAAATAATTCATTTGAAAGGAGTGATTTTTTATCTCAGTTCAATGCCTATGATTGAATTGAATTCATTACTCAGTTTCTTGGAAGGTAGTAAGCATATCAAAGACAAAAACATTATAGTATTGCCAAGGAGCTGAGAAGTGTACAGAATTCTCCAAGATCAGGTTTTCATGACATGCAAAGGAGCAGGGGGATTGTTTACGATATTTAGCAGTGAGGAAGAGTTTAAAATGCAAAGTAAACCTAATAATAAAGGAAATAACACCTTGAAAGTGAAACCCAACAAATTCAATGGTTGATTCAAGTACCTTCAATTCTTTAGTGTGGACGTGATTTTGTTCATTTGTTTTTAAATAAAATCTTATCTGTGCTCATGTTCAAGTGGCCAAGGATTATCCCTAAGCAAAACCATTGGAAGTTTACTTCTTTACTTATTCAGTCATTTGTTCACTGATTGATTCATTCAACAAGTATTAACGAGTACCTACTATTTGCCAGGTTCTGTATTAAGCCCTGAGATACAGTGGTGAGCTATGCGTGCCTGGGTTTTGGGAAATGCTGCCTTTTCTGTTGAACCCCATCCCCCTCTGCAGAAATATTCACAGTGTCTGTTAGCACACGAAAGGCTCTGAGAAGTCCTGCAGTGAAGAAACCTGTTTAACCTTCTTTGATATAATGTTTCCTAGACCTTTACATCCTCAAGGAACTATTCTTTCTTACAACACACTGGGGGGAAATCTAGGTTAAGATGAAATGTGCTGCGTAGAAGGACAGGATGACATTGGATAGCAAGGCAAGTAAAACACTGCTTTAATTCATACTTGTTGATTGCAGGACTCTGTCACCAAGCAGTTTGGCACTCCACTTGATGAGAAGGAATTTGAAGGAATATGTTATTGCCTCGATTTTGTCCAGGACCCTTTCTATTCTCCATGTTTGCCGTGGCCACATTGTTCAGCTTAGGAAATAATACAAGTTCAGTATGAATGGCGAGGTTTTTCTATTTGTTAACAATGGTCCGGGAGCTAGCTGTTTGCCAAAAGGAACCTTCTTACCATTCATGATGCTTCATTTGGGGGAAATAGATGCAAGTGTTGGATATATGGTTAAATTGGATTCTTTTAAAACATTCCAACAAATCTAACTGATCTGAAAGAAGAGGTCATCTTTGGATTGCCGTTTTTGGAATTACCTACTTTCATAAAGTCAAAATAACCCTCAAAAAAGTATATTAGTGTACTACAAAAAAATTAATACATGCAAAGTAATGTAAGCACATGGTACTTTTAATTTCTCGGTGGCCCCGGGGCACCGTTATGTGATCTTTTCTGGGAAATCACTCATCGTGTAGCTATTGGGGAAAGGGAGCACTTCAGCCCCTTTTCTGGGAGCAATCCAATGCAGTATGGATATTAATTAAATTTATTAAACAAATAACACAGCGACTCGGGGAAGCAGGGGTCCATCTGCCAGTTCTGCAGACAGATCTCTGCAGAGACGCGAGCTGAATGGTAGTTAAAGCTAAGTTGCCGAGCTCAGCAGATGGGCTCTTGTCTCCAGTGGGGGAGATTTGGTGGCGGTCCAGCAACTCTTTCCCCCCTCCAGGTTTTTGTTCCTTGCAACTGTGATTGAAGAAGCCCTTCTCTGTCTTTTCCCAGCCTTGTGCCTCTCCCCCACCCCACCCCGCTTTGTTTATGTGAGCAATGTTTAAATCTGAGTGATTTGTTAGAGAGGCAAGTCCCGGCTGATCTCATTTTGTGTATGTGCTGTAAAGCTCAAGCAGAAGATAATTAGGAAAATGTAATCCCATTGACTTTACACCCCACTTGTGTACATTGCAGCAACTCAGGCTTTGTGCCCTGGAATAAAGTCTCTGAACAGATTTGAATGTAGTCGGCATCCCCATTTTCTGTCGCTGGAAGTTCATGTTATTCTGAGGTTTAGATACGTATTATTCCTAAAACTGTTCTTGAGATTGCCTTTAGACCTATGTGCCTTTTAAACCATGCAGTTGAAGGATTCTTGTTTGTTTGCTTTTTCCTTATGTCTTCATAGTCTGTTGGCAGGTGTCTAGGTGCCTTAAATCCCCGTGTCTCCTTCACTTGCCCTCTGGGATGAGATGTCATTGACAATGTTAGATGGGCACATTTGTGATCTGCTGTGTCTTTTAGAAACCCACCTCCCCACCTCCTGACCTACCTCTTCCATGATAAAAGATGGTGAATTTGAAACCTTTCTTTAAGTAGCCACTTTGCTTTCAGTTGATTATTGCTTCCCACTATTTGGTATAAGTTTTGACAAAAGCCCACTTGGACACAATTTAATGGTAGGATGTTAGATTAATGCAAATCACCCCCTCGGCCCTTTATCCCTACCTGAATGTTTGCAAAAATTATTTTGTAGAGGGCTCTGTCATTTCTGGCTATGTCCCCTCACCTGGGACCGGTGCCCTTCTCAGGGGGAGGGCTGGGGAGGGACAGACGAAGCCTGCTAAGCAGATTGTGTGCTCTATTGATGGTAAAGTTTTGGACTAAATAGATGCCACCTTGGGCTGAGTCCTGAAATGCCCTTGCCTCGGAGAGATAGGTCTGGTTCCAGCCAACCTGCCGGTGGGACATATTTGCGGAGATAAAGACACCTCTGTGGAATAGAAACTCTTCCAATCAGAATGTGTTCCCTCGCCTGCCCCCTCAATTCTCTGCCAGCAGAGGCCTCAGTTGATTATAGAACCCAAAGAGAAGAGTGGACGAATCTGGGATTTTGATCATTCCTGGGTATACTGAGTTTTGTGGGAATATGGAGGCCAAACCTTTATTCCAGTTTGTAAGAAGAACCAGCCAATGATCTATTTACCCAGAGCACGAATAAATCTTAGCAGGCTGAGCCTCTGTACAACCAGAATGGTCTGTTCATTTCTGCTGCTCATGAAGTTCAGTCAAGTCCATCCTTGATATCGGTCTGTGTTTGTGCTTTTTGAACCCAACTTGAAACCCTAGTCTTATTGGGTTTAACTGGGAGATGTAATATTTCAGCTGCCGTTGCCAGTCCCTGTCCCTCACTGAGGTTGTAGCACCCCACCCCCCACCCCCCAGGCCTCCGCCACCAGGCCATGCTAATATTCATAATAGGAACGCTTCTGTTACTATGGCAAGTTGTTGGAATGAGGTGGAGATTTTTGTTTTTTCATTAGAGCCCTGCCAGCGATTATTGTGAACTCCGAGAGTTATCGTTCCATCCTGGTTTTTTAATGGGATTTAAAAAGGCCCAGCAAAAAAGACAGTCATGAAGGGGCTGGTGAAAAATGTTTGTTTACCAGCAAGTCGTAGGTGAACTGCCAATTTATTTCTCTAATTTGTTGGAAGTCAGAATTGGCTGGGGGCAGGGGGAAGACTCTACATTTTGAATTCATAGGCTATTTACCAGTGTCTTTTCTGCTTCTCCTTCTATCCTGGTGTACCTGGACTAATTTTGTTCTCTGATTTAAATCGCAATCTAGTTGCCCTGGCATCTCAATTTAAGGGAAGATTGGATGTTGTTTTTCAAAGGGAATTGCAAGTGTTTTACTCTTGTCTGAAAACAGATTGTGGCTTCTTTCCCAAGGATAAGCTTAGGAATTACATATAAATCTCAGGGTTTCATTCTTAGCAAAATGTTTTCAACCCTCTTGTCCACACATTAGTATAAATGAATAAAACAGACAAAAAGCCAGAAAACACCCTGACAGACAGTGTGTGAATATTTCTGATCTGCTTCCTGAGCCTGCCATTCTACCGAACACATTTTGTTTACTCTCCGGCTTCTAATTGCTTTATTGCAGATTTTGTAGGCAGCATGACAACTTGGGACTAAATGCATAAAAAAGCTTTTGATGCGGAACAGAAGTTAACACTCATCTGTAAGGAACCAGAGAGGAGCTTGAAAAAGAACAATTTAGGGGCGCCTGGGTGGCGCAGTCGGTTAAGCGTCCAACTTCAACCAGGTCACGATCTCGCGGTCCGTGAGTTCGAGCCCCGCGTCGGGCTCTGGGCTGATGGCTCAGAGCCTGGAGCCTGTTTCCGATTCTGTGTCTCCCTCTCTCTCTGACCCTCCCCCGTTCATGCTCTGTCTCTCTCTGTCCCAAAAATAAATAA